TTTTAATGGATTCATCACCAAATGGTTCAGAGAAAATGATTTCTGACGACGATGTGATTGATTATTCAGTAAAACCAGAATTCTATGACCCAGAACTTGATGCCAAGGATGAATTATGGGTACATAAGAAAAGAAGTGGTGTTGTGTCGGATGCTGTTTTAAGTTGTCCAGCTTGTTTTACAACACTTTGTTTAGAATCACAAAGACATGAGAAAATTGTTACACAATATAGAGCTGTTTTTGTTGAAAATTGCAAGATTAAGAATGAGGAAGTAGTACAAGTTGAAAGTAATAAAAAACAACTGAAACGAAAAAGAGGTAAGAATGGATTTGAAGCTGTTGAGAGTGGAAAGGTTAAGCCTGTTTGTTGTTTGGTTTGTTCTGCTCGTGTTGGTGTAATTGATGAAGATGAGGTTTACCATTTCTTCGATGTTATCCCAAGTGAGGCTTAGAATTGGCTCTTCCCCGTGTTTTTAAAACAATTGAAAGAAACATACTTGGGCAACTATGTTATACTTGGTTAGTGATTTCTTGTATTTTTTCATCGTAAGTGTAGATATTCATGTTCAGTTATTTTATGTTTTTGTGTTGTGTTGTTTTTTATAATTGATTTGGAGGTTTGAGATGATGAGTACACAAACTTGTGCTGTGGTTCTGAAATTTTGTGAATGATAATCTATCGCTAAACCTCTGATCATCCTCCTTTCAGATCATTATTAAGTAACCACATTGCCTCAATGGTTTTGTCAGACATATTTGAGATGTATTGTAGGTGATTAATACTAGTCTTAAATTCATGTGGTTAGCAACTTGCGATTTAGGATTAAGGCCTGTTGGTATGGAGATTCATAGCAGTCCTGTGACGCATGAATAATAATTGTCTTAAAGTAGTTCTATCTAGGATTTATGCTTGTTGCTATTCATGTGGTCTTGTTGGAGTTCAGAGCTGTTGGAGATTTTCTTTCTGTTCTGTTGCATTTTAAGAAGATCACAAGACTGCAGAGTAATGCGGAGTGCGGACCATTAAGCAACTTTCCTAGTAAATCAATGCATAAGTATCATACTAAGAGAAGTTTTGATTGTGGACCAATCTGGAAGTACTATGTTGAGGAATCAGACTTGTAATTAGCATGTAGTAATCTGTTATTCATGTCTAAGTAAAGGCTCCCACTATAAGAGAGCCTGTGGTTGTTATAAATAGTTATATTGTGATGATACATGAACTGCATGTCAACTAAACTATGGTGGATTAGTTATTTGTTTGTCTGATTTTAGAGAAAATTAAATCATGTTAATGTAAACAAGGAAGCCAACCGATTAAACCACTTATTTGCTATTATGAGTACGGATGTCAGAAGAAAAAACCTTGTATTTTCAGTTTATAGGAGTTAACTGAAAAAAATATATCTTATTCCCCAAATTTGTCAAAACAAAATTAATTAAAGAAATTATCAAGCATTCTATTAGTTGTTATAGATCAAATTATATATATATTTGTATAGTAATATAGTTCTAAAGATAATATTTAATATTCTAGATTGTATTGTTTTTCTTATAATTACTTGGTTTAGAGTTTAGGATCACAACTTCACAAGAAGTGATAACTCAAGAATAACAAATGGGAACTCCCTCCAGAGGGAAGCTACAAGTTTGATGCTGATGGTAAAGGGAACCAAGCAGGTTTTGGAGGTATCTTAAGAGATTCAAATGGAAATATGGTGGCTCTGCTCCCTATGCTGGAAATTCAGGAGATGACAGAGAAGTGATAACTCGATCGGGAGATGACAGGAGAATCGGAAGGGATTAGACTAGCTACTCAACTAGGCATACAGAAAGTACAAGTTTATGGAGTATGAAGGTATTGAGGAAGACACTACCAATGCCCCATGGTACTGTGTGATGCTCACAGCTACCATTTTTCAACTGGCAATGCAATTCCAGGGGGTTGAGTTTATTCGTGTCATCGTGTGTACAAAGAATTTAATCAGTGTGCCAACTATTTTGCTGGACTAGGGTGTACTGGTAATGTTAGCAAGCTTATTTAGATTATTTTTAAAGGGTGATATTAGTCACACCCACCAAATTAGTCACATAACCCATTTATTTTGTTTTATTAGTATAACCTAAATTATTTTATTCAGATAATCCAAATACTGTGGAATGGGTTATGCCTATTAAAATTTTTTAAATTAGGAAATATATTTATAAGTGGGTCCCACTAATGAATTGTACAAGTTTGGGATTCTAATTTATTAACCAATTATTTGTTTACCAATTTTTTTGTTAAATTCATCTTCTCTAGCAACACCATCATCTTCTCCACCTATCAAAATCAGAAAAATATGTAAAAATATATAAACAACAAATGGAAGCCATTTAAGATAAAATCACAACTTAAAACCAAATTTTAGAATTTAACTCATTCAACTTTCAATAAAAATTACTAAACAAGTAAAAAGACAAAACAACTAATTGATTTCAAAATTTTAGTTACTTGTTTATCATACAATTCTAAAATTTTATCCACCATTCTTTTTACAATTGATGGTTTGCTTTATTAGTTATATTGTATTTAGGTTTTGAAACTGAATTTTTTTTTAATATATATAAGTAGTTAATTGATTGTGGTTTTTTTTATTGTAGAAGATGATTTCATTACTAAGATCTCACATTGAAATCTTTCTGTTCATCATTGTTTATTGAATCTCACTAATTTTTCAATTTAAAATTTTTATTTGTAGAGATTATTGAGATAGAAAGATATTCAGAGATTTGCTTTTAACCATATATATAAAAAGATATTTACAAGATTTTTTTTGACAAATATTAATTAATATTTTGGGTTATGTTTAACAAAAAGTTAAAAGTAATATAGGTATAATATTCAAACATTTTTAGTTAATTTTAGTTATTGTGGAAGTTGGATTATGTGACTAATTAGTTGGGTGTGACTAATATCACTCTTTTTAAATCTGTAATGTTCACGTTCGTATTACTTCCGAAGTGTCAGTGATGAAACTTTTCACCTGTTACTTCCGTGAGCACATCTAAACATTGGTCTTCGGCAAACTCAATCTTTTCTATTCAACCAAATCTCTGACGAAGTGGTAAAAAAACTCAATGTGCATGGTATGCCGATATGTAAGCTCCAATATATGGTAACAAAATTTCAGTTTCTGTTAATTTGAACAATTGCGAAGTATATCAACATATAGTGTGGGCCTCAAGGATAGTGGGATCTAAAAGAGGAAGCTGGAGTAAATTGTAAGGGGTTAAGTGTGAGTGTTGCACAACATTGTTCAGCAGTGTAATTTAGTGTATCTTTATAAATGGACCCTGCAAGAGTGGGTGGATTCGCAGTTTTATCATCAAACACCTTTGTACATCTAGCTCGCTCAAGTAGAGCGTATGACACAATAAAAAGACCATGATTAAGAGACCAAGAAGGCACAGCATTGGCTTTTTGAACTATTGGGATAATCATTGTGAAAAAAACTTGGGTTCTTAAAATGATGCAGTCAAAATATCCACATTGTTGCGTACCAAAAAGCCTTTATAAGACTACAATATAACAAATTAACAACACAATATACTCCAACCAGCACAATACTAATAATCCAAGTGTTTTAAGCATGCACCAGCTCTCCCACACCTATAGTCCTACTAGGCTATAATAAATACAAA